TTACGAAGCTCCGTGATACTTCAGTAATTATTTGCGATAATAAAAAATCTCAAAGCCGTGTAAAATTAGTTTAGGCACTGGTTACTACAGTTAAGCTGTAACTTCACAGTGCTATTTTGTTTTATTATTATTCAAATAATAATACGTATTTAATTATTTTAATTTCCTTTCGCGGAATTTTTAAACTGTTTCTTTTAGTTTCTATTCCTTTAATTAATTCTTTCTGCGTAACTTGTTTAAATATTTTCATATCGAAAATTTAAAGAAAAAAAGAAATTTTTAGTTACTACTTATTTACTGCGTCTATGATCATGGAAATCGGAGAACCGATGAAAAATGCGCAATGGTAATTGGACGAGCATTTGCTTCACGAGTTTACTCGATGATAGCTCGCAAGTGTACTCATGGTAAACAAATAGACCAGCCATAATTACACGTAGATTGCAAACTCGCTACGTTCATTGCATCTATACAGTCCTCTTCCGTAAACGATTCCTATGCATTCAACGTATTATTTCTGAGCCGACCTATCTTTGAGAATCTAATAGAAACAGCAAATTTTCTTGAAGAAAGAATATAAAATAAGATAGAAGGAGAAATGAATGAAAAAAATATATCAATTGGCTGAATTGAAGAAGGATTAAAGAACGAAGATCGAACAGAATGAAAAGATCGCAAAGGAGGAGAGAAAAGTGAATTAAAGGAAGAGCAAAAAAGAGTGAAGAATAGTCAAAAGATTGAAGAAGAGGAAGATTATAAATGGCAAATTTTAAAATTAGAATGTAGCAACTTAAGAGGATGAAAGGAAAAAGTAATAATTCAAAGAAGAAATCTTAAAGAAGAAAAATGAATTGAAAAAAAGTAAAGTTGAAGGAAAGGATAAACTAAAATAAAATAAAAATGGGAGAAACTTTGGAAAAATAAGCTTTATTAAAAAGAATAAAGAAAAAGGATCAAAGAAGAAAAGCCAACAGAAGAAAGAGAATCACAGAAGAGAAAATAGAAAATAACAAGCGACAATTAAAGAAGAAAAATAGAAAAAATTAGAATAGCATTCGAACATTATATTATATTTAATTAGATTATATAAAAATCTGTAATTTATAATTCTTTTTTGTAAAAAATTATTTTCTTCTGCAGAAGCTCACATTTGTGAGTACAAGTTTGATAATCTCGTGGAATGCGAGTTGTCTAGATACTTGTTGTATAATCAGATTTACCTTCAATAGATTGAATAATTTACGATGTATCTGAATTTGAGATAGAATTCTATTTATAGATGCAATAGACGTGTATGTACGTATATGTGTACGTGTCTTGATTTTGCAAATACTTTTTATTTTATAGAAAATTAATCTTCTACAACTCAAATCTTTTGAAGAAAACTTACATAACATGCAAATATTAACCTTGGAATAAATATAAACTAACTATTAATTTTCAGCTTTTAAATATTTTACCTATAAAGATTAAACTCTTGATATATAAGACTTCTGATTCCTGTTTGTTAGACAATCGAACTCAGACTTAAGAATATAGAAATATAAAATATATGACTTTTTAAAATTATATGATATTGTAGAAGATTAAACAGAATTAGAAAATAAAGAAAAGTAGAAAATACAGTAAAAACTACTACAAATCTTCGAGATTTATAATCTGTTATATATTGCACGCTATCGACAACCATCGACAACTATCGACACTTATATCAATACCTGTAAAAAATTTCGAGACTTTTATTTATGATACTTGGATCGTTGGTCACGAGCACTTTGACTAAATTCGAGTAGATAAGTTATTAACACAAGAGATACTTACTTGGCGGATACTCGATGTAATTGACGGTGGTGTAAGCGGCGAAGGGTAACGCGAAAATGAGGGCCAGCAACCAGACGCCTAAGATAAATCGTATAGGGCGTTTCAGTCCGCTCATTGCGTATAAGTGTAGAGGGTGGCATATAGCTAGATATCTCTCCAACGAGAACACCACTATCGTTAACACCGATACATAAGACGACCTTAAACAAACACACAAGCTAATTTGATAATTATATCACGCGGATTTCTGTTTATATAGAAATCAGTAATTTTAAAAGGATATTATTTTAACATCACATTTTGTATATTTTGTAACATACATCCTCACCTTCAAAATTTAAATTTTCAAATATTTTACAATACTATCTTACAGTTAAAGCATATTTTTTTAATTTTAAAATATTTAAGAAAAGTTTAAAATTAAATTCAAAGACATAAATCGTAAATGTTACTAGATTGTATTAACATCCCCTTCCCCCCTACACACACACACACACACACACACACACACACACACACACACACACACACACACACAGAGAC